TGCAATTTACCCCCCCCCCCCTTGCTAATAAGATACCTCTCAGTCTCTACGCCCACCCCTTCATTGCCAAGCATAGGAAAGAATAATTCAATATTGATCCCCCAGTAGAGTTTTTAAAGGTATATTAATCATTTTTTAATCTTTGAAAGGGGGGGAGGGGAAGGATTTTTTTAATGAATGTTTTACCTGTATTTATCATTTAGAAGACGATTTCTTTCAAATAAAGACTTAACATCATTTATCTAAATCAAAAAAAATTTAAGTAGTATGTATGTATAAATACCAAAATCTATTGTGCATGGTTGTAAAAATACCAAAAGCATGCTGGATGGATGTAAAAATACCAAAAGTATTGTACATGGTTGTAAAAATACCAAAATCATAGGGGATGGATGGATGTAATGATACATAAAATAATGCTGGATGGATGTAAAAAATACAAAAATAATGCTGGATTGTTGTAAAAATACCAAAATCATGCTGGATGGATGTAAAAATACAAAAGTTTATACTGAATATATGTAGAAATACCAAATTAAGGCTGGATGGATGTAAAAATAGAAAAGTTCATACTGACTATATGTAAAAATACCAAAATAATGCTGGATGGATGTAAAAATACAAAATTTTATACTGAATATATGTAAAAATACCAAAATCATGCTGGATGGATGTAAAAATACAAAAGTTTATACTGAATTTATGTAAAAATACCAAAATAATCCTGGATGGATGTAAAAATACAAAAGTTTATACTGAATATATGTAGAAATACCAAAATAATGCTGGATGGATGTAAAAATACAAAAGTTTATACTGAATGTATGTAGAAATACCAAAAAATGTAAAATTAACGGAGAATGTATATTTTTGAAAATGTATTTTGAGAGAAATATTAATTAATGAAATCAATTGAAGTTTAACTTTAAACCTAATATTTTGTAAAACAGGATTTTAGGATTTTTTAATAGTGCTAAGCCAATTCAGCCAATCCAATAGAGATGTACCTCTTGTGTATCAATATATTCATAACTGTTGTCTGAGTAGAAATCTACATCATAGTTCGAGTTCTCAAAATCATAAACAGCAGTATCATCAACTAAACAGATATAAAGTCATTTGATTATTATTATACTTACTATTATTATTATTATTATTATTTATATTTAATTATCGGTAATAATTTTATTGGTAGTAGTATTATTTTTATTTTTGCGAATACCATTTGCTAACAGAAGAGATTTTAAAATTAAGAACCTGAATTTAGGTTGGTGGATGGCGTAGATGAGTAAGTGTAGGAGAATTTTGGAGTAGTTCGGCGCGTATATCGATATTTTTGAGTAGTAGGTCGGTTATAATGATAAATTGGAGTGGTTGGACGAGCATACTGGTATCTAGGAGTAGTTGGACGAGTATACTGGTAGCTAAGAGTAGTTGGACGAGTATACTTGTAACTTGGAATAGTTGAACGATTATATTGAGATTTTGGAGTAGTTGGACTGGGTGTAGGATAAAGATATTTAGATCTAGGAGTGGTGGAGTAGGTAATTTCATATCTATTTGATGTTGAGTAAGGTGAAGGAGTAGTTGTGGAGGAGTAGGTTAACGACTCCTCAAATTCAACCTCTGGGTTCTGATTGTAACTGCTACTGCTGGGGTACGGCCTCTTTGGATATTCCTTAATGTCAGGTTTGGGTGATATGTATTTATACGATTTGATCCCGTCGTTGAAAGGATTTTTTGTTGTGTAAGAGGATACTGAGTTCTGAAACGTCTCAGATGACCATAAATATGGTTTCTTTGGTTCCAGATTTTTGTCTTGATGATTTGAAATCAAGTTAGTTTCCTCTAATCGTCTGTGGTTAAAGTCCTGAAACTGTGAGGCCGGGTAGGAATTGTAAAAGTGTTCAGCTGGGTAGAAACCATTGGCTTCCACGTGATGATCAGCTGTTTTGGTGTCGTCTTCCTTAACTGGGTTCTTAGTTGGTTGATAGGTTCCTGGCCTGTACTGCTCATGGGGTGATTCTCCTTCTGAATAAAACAGTTTTAGATTAATATTGTTATAGAGGAGCTAACTTTTTAATAGGAGCTCCATGAAAGTATTTTACCTGAGATTGAAGAAACTTGACCTGCATTGCTCAGAAAGGATATCGTATTACCTTCTTTCTTCAGGTTTTGCTTTCTCGGTCTGCCTTAACCAATAAACTATATTTAGTGATATGGAATAAAATCTCTTTTTAAAATCAGGTTTTCAAGAATAAAAATAGTTTGCACCAAAAGTTATTGTGAAACCTCAAGTTTTTTAAGGTTAAAAGACCATAATTACCAAGTTACAAGGGGTCATTAGGAACCATTTTGGCACCCTTAAGATAAAGGATTAAAAAAACCATAACATTTAGTCAATAAAAAATAACATACATGATTGAGCAAACATGATTTGTAAAAGAATTTTTTAAGTTACCTTTAACAAATCGTCTTGTAACTCCGTCATTATAGTTCTCAGAAACTCCAAACCTATTCCATCTTCTATATTCAAGGTCATCTACCCTTCGTTTCGTTTTAGGGTACCCGTAATCATAATCATAAATATAATCATATTGATTATAATCATAGAAAGGGCTATACTCATAATCATAATTGATCATAGTTGGAATAGTTCCGAGTCTACTGGTTGTGTCTATACAAACAAGGAGAATCAATCTAAGGTAAAAAAAACATTTAAAAATTCGTGTATACTCATGGCAATTGTATAATAGTACACTTTTTGAAGAAAATTCGATTTTATATGATAGAGAAAGAAAGAAATATAAAACGATAAGTTTTTAATGAAACTCAGAAAAACCTCAATACTTTGATAAAATACAAAATAATTAAAAACTCCATGTCGTTCCTATTGATGATTTGGAGGGGGTAAATCCACCCGATAGTGCGTTGACAACCAGAGCAATTGCTAAACAATAATGCTGTCAGGTTATACCAAGGTTATAAAATAAGGTTGCTTACTCTCGTTGCGCTCCAATGTACAGAAAATATCGTCTCCTAAGCATAGATAGATGAAATCCTCATATGACGTCACTTATTATAGAGGTGAGAGGATGTTATCTATCTATGCCAAGGAGTCGACATTTATCGTATTTATTGGAGCCATCGAGAGTAAGCAACCTTATTATACAACCTTGGTTTATACTATTCTTTAACTGCTAAGAAATTCCTAAACAATAATGGAGTCCGTTTATACTATTATTTAACCACGCTCTACAACATTGTCTGGCCATCTTTTTTATTCTTATCTGTTCCGTTATATTCTGTTCTATTTTCTTATCTGTTCTGTTCTTTCTATTTTGTTTTATACCTTTTTATTAATTGGTTCTGTTCTGTTCTGTTGAGCTTTATTCTGTTCTAATTATTTTTTTCAGCACGCCAATGCATTGTTATTTGTTCTTTTTTGTTCTTGTTCTTATTCTTATTGCTGTTTTTATTTTATTTTTTGTTCTTGTTCTTATTTTTGTTTTTGTTCGTGTTCTTATTTTTTTTTAACGTTCGTTTTTGTTTTTCTTTTTATTCCTGTCTTTTTTGGGCTTTTGTTCTTATTTTAGTGTTTTTGTTCTTGCTCTTGTTCTGACTTTTGTTGTGTTCTATCTGTTGAAGCATAATGTATTGTGAATACTGTATGTATACCTAGTAAGGAAGCAACTGAAATATATCCTCCTGGGGAAAGATCTAGTGTTCCAAGATCTATTTTTCCCAGATCTAAGTTATCCAACCCATCCTGGACACCATTGCTCAGCTGGTTAACTATATCTCCAACGTTAAAACTAAAAATAAAGTCATCAAAAATGTTATGAATAAAAAAGTATCAGCTTAAACTATTACTAAACCCTTTTTCATCGAATCGATCTTACTTTTGTAAATCCTTAATCTGCTCCAAGTTCATAAAATCCTCCAACATGTCTCTCTGGTTTTCAAGGCTTGATTCCAAGAAGTCGTCTTTACTTATACTTTCAGATTTGTTCATAATGAAGCTTTTATTTATAATTTGTTCACGCTCTGTAGCTTTAACAGACTTCGTATCTAGTTCTCTTTTCAGTCTCGATTTAAAGTCATTTACCACAAAACTATCTCCACTTCCGATTTCTTGGTCCATTTTATCTTTCATCTTTTCATTCAGATAAATAGTTCCTTGGACAATTTCAGTTTTTCTTTTTTCATTAGTTTTATTTTTGTTCAGTCTTTCTTCCTGTTCTTCATTCATATTTGAGTATGCATTTTTCTTGTTGTATCCTGCAGCTGCAGACTGAAAACAATAGAATATTATTTTTATACATAATATGTACAGCAATAACCGATGATTAACAGCGGAATGTTGGTCGCTTTTTCTTTTATTTAAAAACTCCGCTAATGTGTTATAGTTTTCATTAATTGTAACTTTTAAAAACTGAATTATTTCTGCAAAAATGAATTCAAATCTTTAGCAATATTTATAATCTATATAATATTTTAAAAATCAGAAGATTTTTAGAGGTTGGGTAAACAATGTAGATGAAATTTCAAGCGACCCTCCGATTCACTACAGTACCGTTTGAATCATCATCTAAGCAAAAATGAGGCAGATATTATCGTTTTTCTATGTTAAGTGTTGAATAAATTTCAAGAGAAAAGTTAAAAACTTCATCATTTTTACTCCGATAAAGGTTAAAAGGGTACGTTTGTGAATCAGGCATGATACTCCATAAATGGCATAAATGGAGGGTCACATGAAATTAAGTCTACAGTCCCTTTAAGCAAAACACTTGTAATTGCATCTTTAATCCCCTTAAGTTTGAAATCTAATCATACACATACGTTATCTATAAAATTGGAAAGGAATTGAGTCTTTTCCCTAATTTTCTAATCCCAATAACTTCGGTACCCAATGTCGTACACCTAAGCTTTTTAATTCTGTTAGATTAAATGTTTGAAATATTAAAGCTTCACATCACCCAGTTGCATCTATATAGGGATTAGAATATTTGAGTTTGTAGCAAAGACTCAATACCTTTAGAAAATTTCTATTTTATTTATAGATTATACTTCGTGATCACTATTTTCTTCACGTACAAATATATATATCACCATTACATGTCAAAATGTGAAATTATGTTATACTCCAGGTGGGTAATATAGCACTGCTCTAGTATAAACCATACAGGGAGAAACTACTAGAAAACACAAGAAAATAATGCCATATGGTCCTATCTAAATATTCATGTACTGGTCTAGCCTTCTTGGGGGTCCCCCTCTTACAAATTACAACAATTCGCGTATTACTCAATGTTCACTTTCTTTTTTTAAATCTTATTTTAAACCTTATAAGAAGTGCTGAGGGAAAATTTCTTGATGAAATGCATGTTAAAATAATTTGAAGACGACATTTGGCATTGTTGTCCAATTTTTTTTCTTCATAACTTTTTGTCGAATTTATCAAATGATACATTTGTTTCTGACACGCAGTAAACGCGACAAAAGTCAAGTTGACAAAAAGAAAATAATTATATTCACTTTGATAGTGAAGCTATCAAAGTGAATATAATTATTTAGATTTTTTCCGTTGGTTGGATCTTAATTCTAAATTAATTTTAAAATTCTTATTTTTTGAGAATATTAAATAAACATTGCCTTTGCTTGAATCCAAGAGAGATTCCGAAGAGGGTGAGAAGAGTTTGAAAAGGATCTATATAAAATATTGAAAATATAAACATAGGTTGCATTGATATTTTAAATAATATTTTGATTTACAAGTAGATGCGTTAAAAAATAGTGACTTGTTTTGTTTTTGGTGGTTTTTCGTTTGTTTTGCATTACCATAATAAACACAAACGAATAAATTTTTTATATTTTGTTTTCATAATGCTCTTATTTTACCGTCCAGTGAAAAATGCGAGCGCCTGATTAAATAAATCTCCGTAGGTCAGGCCAAAGGGAATTCCAATATATCTGAAATATTTAATCAATGCAGATTATCAATGAATAAAAAATAGAAAAATAATAAAAAATTGAGTCAGAAAAACAACTAAGAACTACAGAAGGTAATGAAAGTAATAGATTTATACAGATGTGAATGAATTTTTAAGGAATAAATGAAAAATTACTAATTATTTATGAATTAGTTTCCTGCAGGTAAACAATAATTTAGATAATGAATAATAAAGGATGAATAAATGAATGGCAATGCTACCTGAAATGGAATTAAGTAATTAATTATAAAAGGTTAAAAAAATAAAGAATGTATAAATTAATGAATGCGTACCTTCAACAGACGGACAAAATTAAATGATTTAAAAAAGTATTTATTGAATGTGAGGCTACCTATAGTAGAAGAAACTAAGTAAACTTCCTACTGCCCAGTAATCAAAATGGTTCCCAGCAGCTAAGGTTAAAAAAATAAAGAATGTATAAATGTACAAAAATTAGAAAAACGGAAAAATCTGCGCTAAGTCCCAAAATAGGTTTTTACTTTGAAGGAAGGAACCCTTTATGGAAAAAGTTACAAGCCTGATTCACAACGGTACCCTTTAAACCTTTGACTATACAAAAATGATGGAGATTTCACTATCTTAAAATTGATAAATTTCAATTGCAGTTTCTTATGAAGTTGTGGATTTAGGGAGAAGTAATTGATGTATTTCTTTTCATTTTATAAAACGAGATATCTACTAAACATGACAATTGGTGAATAGTTTAAAATGTCTTCTTCTTTAAGTTGTTTGATACTAAAGAGAATAATAAAACATATTATATGGCAATCATATTATGCTAAAATTAATTTAAAAGTAAAATATATTTGAGTAAAAGAACTAAACTTTAAATAGTATGGAATATCTAATACAGTTTATGGAAGAAGACATTCAAACCTATTCGCCAACTTTCATGTATGGTAACTTCCAAAAATAGTTGAAAAAAAAGTTTTGGCACTAAAAATTTCAGTGGAAAAAAAAATAATGAAATAAAAAGTTTCTGGAATTTTGAGACGTTATTTTCTAGGACTTTTTTTAGGAAAAAAGTCCTTCAGAAAATAGGAACTTTTTTACCGAAGTTTTTTCCCAGAAACTTTTTTTTGTGACTTTCTTTATAGAGTCTATATTAACCTAGTAAGTCCAATAAGCTTTTCCCCCCTAAACCATACGGATAGGCAACATCATACTCCCTTAACAATTTGTCCATAAATAAAAAAGAAAAATATTTTATGAATAAAACCAAAAATTTAATTTGTTTTCGTAAAAGTTGCACAATGATAATCAGAAAACTCTGTAATAGAAAGACGACTTTTGGAACCAAAATATAACTCTAAAAAGTCCAAGAAGCATAATACACAGCAATTGTGCAGCGTAAACCCATTTCCCCCGTTCACTAGATTAGTGATTTATTGCTATAATGTCGTCTTCCTATTCCATAGTTTTCTGGTTATCACTGAACGATTTTTTTTAAATTTAAAAATCGGTAATATTATTGAATTGCAATGTGTTGGTCAATATTTTTTGACTTACATGAAGTTAAAGTGGAGAAAATAAAAAAATCACATTTTTACCTTGGTCGTGTAATGTGTCCGTACTTGATCAGCGGAGGTCTGATAATTGGTGGATTTTGTTGAGCAAAACTGTACGGTCGTCTTTGATGTAGAACTGCTTTTACACGGGGTCGATTAACAAGATGTTGGTTGATAAAGGGCCTCTGATACCCGACATAGACAGCTTTAAACCCAGGCTGATTTCCAGTACGTGATAATCTTTTAACTAGACTTTGCTTGTTAATTTTTATTGCAACATCCCTTGGCATGTCAAAATAGTCGTTTCGCATAAGTCGATTCTGTTAAAAAGTTTTTACATTTTTTAATGATTATCTAACACAAGTATTCTTATGTTATCCAGATCCTTTCTCACAGGACTGCTTCGCTTATTTTCTTCAGGTCTCACCCTGAAAAATTAATAAAAATCTTACAGTGGTCTTCAGAATTAAGAGCTAGTTTTTGCTACGTTGTTATGAATTTATCAGAAGTTAAAAAATTCATATACTTCTATGTTAAACAAGTTTTTTACAAAAAATTCGTCCTGGCCAATTCAACTTTTTTGGGGTATCGCCGTATACTATCACAATGCCACAAGGATGTTTTTTTGTTAATGTCACTGCATCAACTGAGAGAAAAATGACGCGGAAAGATGAGCAAGTGATGCAATAAATCATTGGAAACAGGGGTATCCATATCACGTTGAGTTTGTGTAGAAATTAGATTCATATAAATTGTGAAAAAACCATTGTTGATAAAAACTTAAAAAATTTTAAGTCTAATTTAAATAAAAGTTTTCTATAATATAGTTGATATGGTGAACCCTGTGGTTTCCTAGTTTAAAAATGCTTCATCATTCTAAATATATTTTTACCAACTTTCATCCAGAGAAATCTTATTTATAAATTAATCCAATGATGACGTAATAGGAAACCAAAGATAAATCCTTTTGGGTGCTCTTTCCTTTTTAATGCAGGGTGTATTGTGTTTTGGGAAGGAGGAGGGGGGAGGGGGGGGGGTAAATGATTCTTAACCCATGTCTTAAACTATGGCATATAATGGCAATAAAATATCCCCCCCGTCGTACGAGTAGTTAGAGAGTAACTGTAATTAATATATATTTATATCTATTAAATGCAACATAGATTTAAAAATTACCCCCGTCGTACGAGTAGTTAGAGAGTAACTGTAATTAATATATATTTATATCTATTATAATGCAACACAGATTTAAATGCTTATTAACGATTTATTGTAAGAAAAAAGCTAATAATGACTTTATGAACTTGAATGATCACAATATCAATCAGAACTGGAAATAAAATTGATTCTAAAAACTTCTCTGTTCTAAATATTAATATTGAGAGCCGGGAAGGTAATATAGTTTGGTATATTTGTACAGGGTGTCCCTTTAAACATGAGGATTCAAATGATGATGACGACATTATTAAAAATAAACAACATTTTTAACAAAATATGAACACCTTTCAGTCTTTCAATCTTGATTTAATACAAATTTTTTCTAAAATTAATGTGTTCAAATGAAAGACATTGAAATGTCGTCACATCCCTGAGCCCACCTTACTAATCTGTCTGAATGGAGTAGAATTGAATAGAAGGGACATCATGGTAGCTCTTTAATCTACAGAAAAATATTATCATCTTTTAATAATTTTTTAATGTGAATTACAAAAAATTGGTATTCGTGTAAATATGGTACTAATCTAGTCTTTTCCATTATTTGTTTAATACATGGTTTCCCACAAAAGATGAGAATTTAATTACGACCTAAAACCTTCCAATGTTGGCCTTGATTTGGACTTTTGAACTTAATTTTAATGTTTTAATGGTACATATGACATGATAAAACATGTGTACAGCTGCAGTAATAAAAATAAATGAATTTTGAAAATTTTTGTCCTCTGTATCATCAAGAACATTGAGAACTAAATAGCACATAACACACACTTGCGGTATAGCACATCTTACAGATTTTACAAATACAGGATTTTCCACAAAGGATGAGACTTCAAAGACGACTTTAAAATTCCTCAGTCTTTGTTCTTAAATTGATGGTTGAATGCAGCTGTAAACTTGTTTTTATTTTCAAGAACTAGGTTACCACGCCATTAAACAAGGCTTTATTTAAGGCAAAAACACAAGTTAAACCTGAAAATTGTCTTATTCAATGAGTTTCAGGTTGTTATTTAATTGTCTGATCCTGTGAGAGTAACCCTGTAGAGTACTATAAAGGGATGATCCTATTCTAGGTGGTAAAGGTATCCTATCCATGCACCTGTATGAACTTATTATGTTGTCTGCAAAACTTGAAGGAAGGGGTTTCTCAAGCTTCTCTGAAAACGAGATGATTTAAAAACATTATATTAAGACGATATTTATTATACAGTTTGGTTAGTTAGTAAATTAAAACAATTATTCACAGCTAGAAAATTGCCCATATAATGATTTACCCTGCATGAAAAAAGGCAAAATTGAAAAATATTTTTAACTAACAAAAATGACTTCATTTCAGAAAATCAGATATTAAAAATTTTACAAAACTGTGTCTACCTAAATTTCTCCAAAGTTTCCTCTTGCTCTGCGGCAAATCTCTTTGTTTGTCTCCTTTAGTCACTGGTTTTGGTCTAATCTTGTCTTCTTGGTTAGACAGTCTAGCAATCTCAGAATTATCTTCTTGTTCATGTGTTCTTGCTGAACCCTTATACTCTGTATTAAGGTCTTGAAGATTGTATCTAAAGATAAAAATGGTGTCACTGCGTGACTGCAGTGAATAATTTATTGAGATTTGAAGACGACATTTTAAAAGTATGGTTACCTGAATGGACCACTATTTCGGTGATTAGCTGAAATAATTAAAACATCAATAGGAAATCTTTTTCATATTTTTACATAGAAATTAAAATTTAAAGGGGGTTATCTCTAATCACGATTGTATAGCTTCCTAATTTCAAAATTTCAATTGAACATTCAGGAAATGGTCCTGAAGAAAGTTAACTTAGGAGGAACCTACGAGAAAGTTTCATTTCTAACATTGAAATGCAAAAAGATGTTTATTTGATTGATTAAATTTTCCTTAGCTTTTATTTAGAAAATTTATCCTGGAAGTCTGTTTTAAATATTCCTAGATTTGATTCTGTTGTTGTTATTCTTTCGTCGTCATAACCTTAAATACAAAGATAAATTTTATGTTATTTTGCACTTAGAAAAGTTAACTTATTCAGAAATTTGTAATTTTCAATTTGTAACAACAATATTCTAGAGATTTATAATTATATTTAAACTATTTGATGATTTGTTTAAGAAAACCTTTTAATAAAAAGAATCTCTGTGCTGAGATATCGTTTAAAGGGACTTTAAGCATAATTTCAAGTGATCCTCCACAAAGATAGCAAGATATTTGTAAAAGTTTTGTTTGATCAAGCATGAATTAGATATCAATGGTTATCATTTGAAAAACTGATCTTTTATTTTGGTTTCACTTCAAAAGTGACTTGAGCATTTCTACTGCATGAAGACATGTAGGAATTAGGAATTATCTGAATTAAATACTTTTAAATATAGAAAACTACAATTTCTTCTCCATTATTGATCAGATAAAGGTTTCAAGAGCATTGTAAATTGGTCATTGGCATCTTTCCATGTCAATTAAAATTACGCTTACAGTCCCTTTAAAAAAATGTGTGTTTTTACTCATAATGATACTCAGTACTCACATGGTCTAGATGATTTTGGCGACAAAACACTTTTTTCGCCTGTTTCTTCGAAGATATTATCAACTGCAGTATTCTCAACTAGATTCTCGACTTTTTCTTTGATTTTTCTTCCATGTACCGGTGTTTGTTTGTTTTGTACACGATGATGACGTTTTGGATTTAAAGGGAACCGTAAGCGTTTTCTCTGAAATTGTTTCTGGAGATCAAGTCTTGGAACCTTTAATCTAAAAACAAATTATACTAATATGGGACCAGATATAATAACTAGAGAGACATAGTTGAACCCCTCAGACTAAGTTGAACCACTTCTCGTCAGCTTGACCGGTGAACAAGATAACTGGTTCAACTATGAATCGCTACTCAATGGTTATAAATATTTTAGTAAAATGATAAAAATATGTGGAGGAAAAGTTATTAACAGCTTGGTACTCAATGAACATAAACAATTCCTTTAATTAAACATTAAAGAAAAATCTAAAAAGAAAATCATTCAACTTAGGTCTTCAATCCAGTTTCACGTTCCCACCTTCGCTTATGTAATCTTTTAGATAACTTATCCTCGTCTTCTTCCTGTAGATATATCCTTCTACGGATCTCTTCACCAGTCTATATATATACAATAACAATAACAATGACAATAACAATAGCCATAAAATAACAATAACTATAACAAAAACAATAACAATAACAATAACGTTGTCAATAAGAGTAAGAATTTCGATAGCAATCAATATTAATAACAGTTTTAATATCAATATTAACAACAACAACAATATCAATAACAATATTAGCAAGAACAATAACTATAACAAATTATTTACATTAACTTTAAGAATAACAATAACTGTAACATTAACAAAACTATAGGCAATAGCAATAACAAAAAATAAATTCTTTTACCAATAAAAATTGCAATAGTAAATCTATTACATTTACAAAATCAATAACAGCTATATCAACAGTATTAAAGTATTACGATATATATTACTCAAATAAAAATATTAAGATTAATGTAAATGTACCGGTAAAGGTGGACTAGGTTTGTACTCTAATAAATAAAATACTAAGAATGTAAATGTACCGGTAAAGGTGGACTAGGTTTGTACTCTAATAAATAAAATACTAAGAATGTAAATGTACCGGTAAAGGTGGACTAGGTTTGTACTATAATAAAATACTAAGAATGGAAATGTACCGGTAAAGGTGGACTAAGTTTGTACTCTAATAAAATACTAAGAATGGAAATGTACCGGTAAGGGTGGACTAGGTTTGTACTCTAATAAAATACTTAGAATGGAAATGTACCGGTAAAGATGGAAGGTTTGAGTTACTGATGAATTCTATAACTAGAGCAGTTAAAGCTAATAGAAACCCTCCCACGGAAAGAGCTGCAGTTCCGATACTTCTGAAAAAATACGTGTTTTGTGATATAAATTAGGACTCAGGACTGTCGGCCTAATCTAATGTCAACCTAGCTAAATTTAATGAGGATAATGCTCGATTCCCTCTAATGTTATCATGGAATCTGTAAACAAAAATGTGGAAAATAATATGTTTTTCTGGCTTAATAAATGTTTTTTTTTCAACAATTTCTTTTTTTAGTTTTTATGAAGATAAATAGAAAATTGTACAAAATCATTTTGATAATATAACAGTTTTCCAATATTTCCCACTTGTAGAATAAATACTTGAAGATTCTTGAAGCCCGGGGAGTATGGACCCTGCCTGTCAATTACGCTATTTTACAGGGAAACGAAAGATATTTTTTTAATACGATATCTAATCATTTACCTGGCACTGTACTCCTGGTTGAATATATTTAGATCTAAGGATTGACCGGCCACTGAGGTAATATTTATCAGGTCTTCTAGGTTAGACATTGCATCTTTAGGTCGGCAAAATCTAGAAGGAAAACATGACTTGCAAATTATTTTTGCAGGTAAAATATTCTGCAATTCGTTCATGAACAGAACATTTTACTTCTTTTTAATATTGAAATCTTGATTTTAAATACAATAATTAAAAGGATTCAATTTCTAAATGAATCTTGATGTTACCTTACATGAAGGTAATATATGTGTTGTAATTGTCCTTTAATAAAAATTACCAACACGTTTACAAATGTGTTGTAACTTGAAATACATAATTAGCTTTTGTTTTGTTTGTTTAGATAAATTATGCTGGAAAGATACTATTCCAATTCCATCTACTGAACTGATATGTAAATCAACCCAATAGCTTTAAACATTTAGAAAAATCCTTACTAAATGGTTATATTGGAATGGGGTCGAAAATAAAGGCTCACTGAATATGTACAGTGGAATCTTAGATCAGTCATGGAAGTCAAAGTGTAGAGTATAAATGTTGCATTTTCGAAGGTTTAATTGAACTCTCAATTTAAAAAAATCACAAAATACATATTTATTTGTACACATTTCTCAATTGAAAACAATGCTCTATTAACTGATTTTTATCGAATAAACTTTCTCCTTCTTAAAGACAAATGACAATTTTTACTTTTACACCTAAATAATGATTTAATAATTGTAATATCTTCGCCATATGGTTGATCATTTCTTTACGTTTAATCAGATGTTACAAACTTTTTAACAAAAATAGTTATACCCACTTTTTATCAAATATGTTGCAAATTAGATGTTAAATACACATGAGAATTAGGTTACGCCATTAAATTCGTCTTTTATTACGCGGCAGCCGTGAATTTTGGTTCACAAGATCGAGCCTGCATAATATTATTAAATAAATCGATTGAGGATATATATATATATATATATGGAAGAAATATATATTTAAACATCTAAAATGTATATTTAAACTGAAAAAGTTGAAAATACTATATATATTTAGCTACGCTCGGTTTGATCAACGACTAGTTTAAATAACTACTTTATTAACTTGACTAAAAAACTATATAAATTTACTTTGGAAAATCATATCATTTTTACTAGCTGACGTGGCAGGAAATTCAAGAGCAGCTTGCCGCGTTCTCATATCCGGCTTCAGGTTGGATCGTCTTCCGCCACATATATATATATATATATATATATAATGTATATTGAGACAATTAATATTATTGAACTTTAACAATTTGAATTAACAAATGTAACCTTTGCGCCTTTTAGTTCTTGTATCGGGAAATCATTATCTTTGTTTTTAATAAAAATTGGATTGTCAATTTTTGTCACTTTTATTACCATGGTTTTGAACTTTTGAGGACTATTTCCGCTTCTCTAAAATAAACTGAAGTTACATAGTTCCCTAGCTTTGACAAATCTGATCTAACTTAAACCAATGAAATAAATTTAGCTGCTGAAATAAATTTTTAATTGATCATTTTTCATGTACAGTGGGACTCATGAAACTGTGAAATAGGAAGACGAGATAAAAGCGTGCAATCTTATCTGTTTTTGATGAATCGTTTTAAAGCAAATACGTTAAAAATCAACTTATCAACTAAAAGTCTGTGCACTCTATAACAGTCTACTCAGTTGATGTGTTTCGACTTTCGTGTTCATTGGAATATTCAAATTCATTACATAAGTCTTATACTCGTATTCCTATTCCAAAGTTGTATGGGTCTCCCTATATGAAAAAATAAGATTGGCTTAAAACATCAAACCATATGTGTCCTCTCTTGCTATATTCGTTTACGATACTGAAAAAGGAAAAAATAATGGATGATTATAAGAAACAAGAAGGGGGAGGCCGGAAAAAATGTTAACAAGATCGAAAGAAATTTAAAGATTTATGATAAAGATTGCAGTTTAAGTTTAGATATTCCCCCCCCCCTAATCCGTTTGTAAAGACCATGAAAATGGGAAACTTTAATAAAATATCGAAACTTGAGGAAATCTGTGAGAAACAAGACAAGTTATAAACTGCACCTATCTATAGTATATAATCATCGCACTAAGATATATATAAACTTGTTTCTGCCTACAGAGATATATACACTCAATGCCATAATATAAATCTCCTTTTCTTTTCTTTAAACTGAACATCAACAAACAAAATTCAAGCCATTTAACCCCCCCCCCCCCCTCTTTTTTTATCCAATCATGTATTCGCCCCTGTTAACACTATTATCCATATATATATCTACACTCTGCAATATAATTCTAGCCTTCAGATCCACACTCTGCAGTATAATCAAAGCCCGTAGATCTACACTCTACAGTGTAATCATAGCCTGTAGATCCACACTCTGCAATGTAATCATAGTCTGTAGATCTACACTCTGCAGTGTAGTCATAGCCTGTAGATCTACACTCTGCAGTGTAATCATAGTCTGTAGATCCACACTCTGTAGTGTAATCATAGTCTGTAGATCTACACTCTGCAGTGTAATCATAGCCTGTAGATCTACACTCTGCAGTGTAATCATAGTCTTAGATCTACACTATGCAGCGTAATCAAAGCCTGCAGATCTACACTCTGTAGTGTAATCATAGTCTGTAGATCTACACTCTGCAGTGTAATCATAGCCTGCAGATCTACACTCTGCAGTGTAATCATAGTCTGTAGATCTACACTCTGCAGTGTAATCATAGCCTGTAGATCTACACTCTGCAGTGTAATCATAGCCGTAGATTTACACTCTGCAGTGTAATCATAGCCTGAAGATCTACACTCTGCAGTGTAATCATAGTCTGTAGATCTACACTCTGCAGTGTAAACATAGCCTGTAGATCCACACTCTGTAGTGTAATCATAGCCTGTAGATCCACACTCTGCAGTGTAATTATAGCCTGTAGATCTACACTCTGCAGTGTAATCATACCCTGTTAATCTACACTCTGCAGTGTAATAATAGCCTGTAGATCCACACTCTGCAGTGTAATCATAGTCTGTAGGTCTAAACTCTGCAGTGTAATCATAGCCTGTAGATTTACACTCTGCAGTGTAATCATAGTTTGTAGATCCACACTCTACAGTGTATTCACAGCCTGTAGATCTACACTCTGCAGTGTAATCATAGTCTGTAGATCCACACTCTGCAGTGTAATCATAGTCAGTAGATCCACACTCTGCAGTGTAATCATAGCCTGTAGATCCACACTCTGCAGTGTAATTATAGCCTGTAGATCTACACTCTGCAGTGTAATCATAGTCTGTAGATCTAAACTCTGCAGTGTAATCATAGTCTGTAGATCCACACTCTACAGTGTAATCATAGCCTGTAGATCCACACTCTGCAGTGTAATAATAGCATGTAGATCCACACTCTGCAATATAATTCTAGCCTTCAGATCTACACTCTGCAGTGTAATCATAGACTGCAGATCTACACTATGCAGTATAATCATAGCCCGTAGATCTAGACTCTGCGCGGCGGTGTTTCCTGTAAATCTAAACTCTTCAGTGTAATCAAAGCCTGTAGATCTACACTCTACACTGTAATCATAGTCTGTATAATCTACACTCTGTCGTGTAATTATAGCCTGTCTACACTCTGCAGTGTAATCATAGCCTGTAGATCTACACTCTACAGTGTAATCATAGCCTGTAGATCTACGCTCTGCAGTGTAATCATAGCCTATAGATCCACACTCTGCAGTGTAATCATAGTCTGTAGATCCACACTCTGCAGTGTAATCATAGTCTGTAGATCCACACTCTGCAGTGTAATTATAGCCTGTAGATCTACGCTCTACAGTGTAATCATAGCCTGTAGATCTACACTCTGCAGTGTAATCATAGCCTGTAGATCTACACTCTAATCATAGCCTGTAGATCCACACTTTGCAGTGTAATCATAGCCTGTAGATCCACACTCTGCAGTGTAATCATAGCCTGTAGATCTACACTCTGCAATATAATTCTAGCCTTCAGATCTACACACTGCAGTGTAATCATAGACTGCAGATCTACACTATGAAGTGTAATCATAGCCCGTAGATCTACACTTAGCAGTGTAATCATAGTCTGTATAATCTACACTCTGCCGTGTAATTATAGCCTGTCTACACTCTGCAGTGTAATCATAGCCTGTAGATCTACACTCTACAGTGTAATCATAGCCTGTAGATCGGCACTTTGCAGTGTAATCATAGCTTGTAGATCTACACTTTGCAGTGTTATCACATGGCCTGCAGATCTGCACTCTGCAATAATATTTTGCAGTTATACAATCTGTATTATAATTCTAGTCTGGACTTCTTCACTCTGCAATATAAGTCTACTCTGCAGATATACAATCTGTAACAGTTTGTTTCTAACGTATTTCTGCAATATAATTCTGTTTTGCATGTCTATACATTGCAAATATAATTCTAAATTCAATAGCTTGCAGATATACACTGAAATATAATTCTAGTTTGCAAAACTATACACTTTGAAAATATAACTCTACTCTCAAGACTCAGATCAACACTCTGCAACTATAATTCTAGCTTGTAGATCTACACTCTGCAAAAACAATGCTCTTGCATAGCACTCTGCTGTATATAATGTGATTAACGTGGATTTATTTTATAAATATAGATTTAAACTTAAAACTTAACCCACTAATTTACAGCATATACAATTCATGTAAAAAAGCCCCAGTGATGGGGGAAGGTTCTTCAACCCCTAATAGCTTCCATCCTTCAATTGAATTACAAACATTGTTTCGAGCAGCAGGTCTTTGCTTTTAGTTTTAAATGCTTATTTTCCATTAAAAAAAATACTTTATATTTTATTTTACACATTTTACGTATTTTTTCGTTTTTCTTTACTTAAAAAATTGTATTTTTTTTTGAGAGTTTATAAGTTTGATGCCAACCTTAAATACGTATATTTTTGTAAAGATAATATACTAAGCAATTTTTAAAGTTTTTAGGTTTTTTTTTACGTTTTTTTGGGTTTTTTCTTTACTAAAGAAATGGCATTTTTTTAAAGTTTAAAAGTTTGAGGCAAACCTAAAAATTAATTTGCCTAAGTTTTTATGTTTTTATTTTACGTATTTTTCGGTTTTTTTCTTTATTTAAAAATTAGTTTTTTTTGAGTTTACAAGTTTGATACAAACCAAAAAATACGTATATTTTCAATACATTGCGTAAATATATTCAAGAAACCTCAACTTCAATAAATTTCATGCCCAGTAATTTTTCTAAGTTTTTTCGGTTTTTATTTTACGCATTTTTACGTATTTTTCGGGTTTTTTCTTTGCTTAAAAAATAGACTTTTCTAGAGTTTAAAAGTTTGATGCAAACCTAAAAATACGTATATTTTCAATATATTGTATAAATATATTAAAAAAAAACTCAACTTCAGAAAAATGCATTTTTAAGATAGAATTTAAAAATATTTTATCATTTTTCAAGAGAATTGTTATGTAAGAAATTTAATGCAAACATTTGGGTAAATACAATGTTTCAAAATTTCTATCATTTTGGAGTAAATTGATGTTTTCCTTATAGAATCAATGTCAGTAAATTCAGGATTTTTTTATAAATAGAAGTTTCACTTTAATAGTCTTGTAACAGGTATAATGGTAAGTGTATGAAGCTATAACAGATATTGAATACGTAAATGTTGAAAATACAGACTAGGTGTATGTATGAATGTTGATTTAGATGACTACAGATGAAGGAATGATGATGGTGTGAATTTGCGTAGGTAAAACCTATAAATTCCTGATTCATTGGATTTTTTAGGTTTTTTACATACGCATTTTTACGTTTGTCATATACATATTTTTACCCATATAAAATACGTATTTTTTACCAAGAAAATGGTTACAAAAATATGTATGTCAGACGTATGGAAAATACGTGACATACGTATTCCAAACATAAAAATACATATATATATATACGAATGCCATATATGTATTTACAGGTTTTCCGGTTAGTAGGGAACTCACCTAGTAAAGTACGAGTAACTGCCTTGCCCTCTATTATAGTTTTTAACGATTTTAAGAGGAAACTGAAAAATGTTCGCTTGATTTAAATTTCAGTTATTTTGTAGTTTATGTTTTTTAGAACAATTTTTTTTGATTAATTGTCTACAACTGTATATATTTAAGTGTTTTTGGCCTGTGAAAGAAACTTGATCAAGGTATTTTTTGAAACTGGGATTTAAAAGACTGTAAAATATTGTGTAAAAAGTTATTTTATCGGACTAAAGTAAATGATGTACACTACACACTACACAGCCTAATTCTTCCTTATAAAAGTATTAAGTAACATATGAAATTCTAGGATTTTTTAAACTGATGTTATATTTTTCCTTAGATAGAACCACAATTTTTTAAAACTCACATGCATGGTTCCAAAAATTAAACTATATATATAGGTTTATGTCAGGGTTCTAATCGCCCTTTAACAAGCCACGAAAACCATAAAGCATAATTTTTGCCTTAGCAATTAATGATTAAAGTTAGAATATATACACTTTAGGGTAGATTAAAATTCTAAAGCCTAAAAGAAGTATTGAGTAGTCTCTCTGAAGATCATCTTTAGTCATCCGTCCTCTTTATTCTCTTATGATACTCTCCAGTTGTGTGGGGGGAAATAATATAATTTTTGCGGGCAAAGTGCGCTGAAATTTTGTTTCCCCCTGGATTTTTTTTACAGTGAATTCGGTCAATACGTACTAGAGATGTCAACGATAGTGTAACGTAACGTAAAATGTACGTTTTTGTACGTTACGTTACAATAATGTGTAACGTTTGGATATATTCTATATAACGTGAACGTTAAACGTTAACGTTA